CTGAGAGCAGGGTCTCTGCCTCACTCGCTGGCTGAGCAGGCTCCTGGCTCCCTGCCCCACACCTGTGTTGACACTCACCCTGCCGCGCACCCCCACCTGCGACTCTGGCTGGATTAAACATGCTCCTCTCTGGGGTCCTGCCCTTCTCCAGGGCATAACTTGATGCCAAAAAGCCAAGAAAAAATGCCAAAAGAACCAAAGACTCCCTCTCCCAGTGCTGCGGCCTGTCAGCTGCAAAGCTGGCTTAAGAATGCCAGGAAGGGAGGGAAGCCACCTAAGCCACAAAGGCAGGGGGTCCCCTCGTCCTCCTTTCACACACTTACCCCCCTTACAATGCGGGGGCCTGAGGCAGGGGTGCAGAGACACACAGAGGCTGCTGCCTGAGAAGTGTTTACAAATCAGGGGACCAGCAAGAGTTTCCATTCCAACACAGGAATGAGTAACGAGGCAAGTGTAATACACACTTGCAAGGACAGTGGGCAGAATGCTTGAAGTCAGGACTACGCCAAGTATACATTCTGACAACGGCTCACTCAACACAAAGAGGCCCCGGGAGCAGTCCTTCCCTAAGGCAGTGACTGGACTGAGCTGCCTCGCTGGGCACCTGCAGCTTTGGACGATGCCACAGCTTATCCACGAAGGAGGTCACCACTCAGGGATCACCCGTGTCATCAGCATCAGCTTCTTTCAGGGAGAGGACAGTGGACCGCAGACAGCTGACTCATTCAGTGCCCACTGCTAGAAAGCGCAAGTGCAGGTTCCCAGGGGCAGCTCCCACTTCCAAGGCATCGCATGCCCACGACCAAGTCAAGGTGTCAAGACCAGGAGGGGAAGTGCTGCAGGTGGGTCAGTGACAGCCACAGAGAACTGGAAAGGAAGGCAGAAAAAGACCTTCCTGGGCTTCTTACCTAACCCACTGGCTAAAGGGAGAAGCAAGAAATCAGGTGTGGCGGGCGGCACACACCTGTGGTCCCAGCTACTAGAGAAGCTGAGGCAATCACTCGAGCCCAGGGAACAAGCACCAACCTGGACAACAAAACCTCATCCTGAAAAAAGGAAAAGAAAGGAGAGAGAAAGGAGAAAAAGGAAGAGAAGAAGGAGGAGGACAAAGAGGAGGAGGGGAGGCAGGGAAAGAAAGATAGGTTTCCTCGGACCCTCAACCCCATCTCCCACCATGAATATCAGGCTCACTGCTGGGTACAGTGTCTCACCCCATGAGAGACAAAACAACAGGCTCCTCCCTCGTCTTCTTTCTGTGTTCCTCTCCCACTTCCAGGAGTGCACCCCACGTAGTGACCAAGAATGACAAACTATTGAACACCAACTCTTCATTTGCCCCTTTCTCCTTTTATATTCCAAGGACTGATAGAAAGATATCACCATGCAGGACTTGAAGGCTGAGGCAGGAGGATCGACATGGTTTGAGACCAGCATGGGCTGCATGGTGAGCTCCAGGTAAGCCTGAACTACAAAGTGAGATCCTATCATAAGGAAATGATGACTTTTTATCATATTGGGAAAGAGACACAAAATACATATAATCATTTTATTTTCATTTTTTAAACCTCAATACTAAATGTGCAGCCCTGTTGCAAGTGCTTTTTTTTTCTTTCAGACAAGGTCTTGCTATGTGTAGCTCAGGCTGGTCTGGACTCACACGTACCTTGAGATGGCCTCGAACTCATATTGACCCTCCTGCCTCAGCGTCCTGAGTTCTGGGATTACAGGCATGAGCCACACGCCCAGCTGCAGTTCTTCATTACAGAAGGCACTGGACTCTACCGTGTGAGGCTCCAGATGTTGCCCCACTGTGGACCATAGAACTTTCCACTGACAAGGCCATTGAATTTGGGGTAAGAGAAGGTTAGAGGACAAAGAAGAAAGTGAGAGAAGAGACAAAAAACACCCTGCCCAGATAATCCCAAAAGAGGAAGACGGAAAGATGAGGAAACAAGAAATGGTGTAAACTCACACCAATACCACAGGGAGAAAACTATAAACTGCAAGTCATAAAAAAATGAAAATGAAGTCATTTCAAAAGAAGAAATGTCACAGAAAGCGAAACAGATGGTGGAGGAAATAAAGGTACCCAGCAGCCCTGCAGAAAGCAACCTTCCTTCCTGATCCCAGCAGCTTCCAGCCCCAGGCCTTGCTTGCAGCCTGGTCCCCTTGAGGGCATTGGAGGCTCACATTTGCAGGTGTCCCCAGGGAAGAAAGGCTCCAAGCCTCTGTCCTGGGGACTTAGCACATCACAGGACAACAGGCTGTTGCCCTCTGGGACTTTTGTAGCTCAATTCATTCCTGGGGGTGACAGGCTGCATCTCACTAACAGTGCAGCACCAGCCCAAGAGAGTTCCTAGAAATAACACATTCAGCACTATGAAGAGAATGCACCAATCAATGGATGAAAGCCACCATCACAAAGGGCCCAAACAGCAGAGGCCCTGAACCTAAAGACAAGGAAGTCCCAGCAAACAAGGCCTATGGAGTCTCGGCTGTCAGTACCTGGTGCCTGCTGTCCCACGCAGCAGGAAGTCAGAGAAACTTTCCTCCTCACAGAAATAAAAGAGAAAGTCTGGAAGCTCTAATTCTCAGCAGATCTGCGTTCCAATCGTGGGCTGACCTCACCCCGCTGTTATGAGCCTGGAGGCTGATTGCTCTGCAGAATCAGATGTGCGCTCTTGCTGCATGAACTTACTCTGAATCTTTCCATAAACTGCTCAGACTGTCAGAATGCTTGTTGTGTGATCAATGCATCCTCTGTTCTGGATGATTAGAGCTCCTGGAGACCACATCTGCCTTAGTCTAGGAAGAGCAGCTGTTGGCTTGCACTCCCCTCCAATACTCTACCTTCCCCCAGGGAGCTCAGGAATGAGAAGTTGCTAAGACTCTGAGAATGCAGCAGGCCCCGAAATCTGCACTGGGGCGGGAGTGGGGGAGAGATGTTTACCCAAGGCATAACACACATACCTGGATGATAGACCTGCCAACACAGCCTCTCAGATCTCTGACTTTGCCCTTTAGAGGTCTACAGGGAGAAAAAAGCTTCTAAATGTCATATCTGGGGCACCTCTGCTTCTGACCCAAGTGGTCTGGTCGTGTATCTTGTACCCATCATGCACAAACAGACAGAGCCCCTGAGAGTCAGAAGCTGTCATTGTGTTTGAGTGCTTCTTCTTCCAAACCGAGGATCCTTCCAACCGCACGGCCCACACGCCCAGCACGCCCAGCGGGTCTGTTCTTCCTAGCGCTGCTTCTAAAGGTTGGCCCTAACCACTAAGCACAGAGGCCAAGGTCTGCTGCTTTAGGGCCAGCAAGCAATCCCCGCAGTGGCATCGTGGGTAGCAGATGAGGCGACAGCTGCATTTCCTATTAAAATATCCCGCGCTTGGCCTTTGCTTTCTTTCCCCCACCAATCCAACCACAGAGCTGCTCTGTGTGCTGAGGCTGGGGCTATCTCCTTTGCAGCTTCCCCATGACTCAGGCAGTGCGCGCACGGGGCCAAGCAGAGGCAGCTCTGCAGGCCTCAGTTGGAAGAATGAGCCCTCGGAAACAAGACTCCGCCAAGACTCCCTAGAGAAACCAGGTGGTGGGAGGAGAAGAAGACTGGGAAAGGAGGATGTTTGACTGCAGAAGGGGACTAGCTGTGCCAAATGGGTTACTGTGGAAGCCTCCAGTTTCAGCCTGCAGGCGCCAGACCAGCTCTGAGTGGTCACTAGGAAACAGAGGAGCCCAAGAGAGCCCCCAAGGGGGCTCAGTGCCACAGCCAGCATGCTGTGATTATGGTGACAGTGAAAAAACAAACGCAAGGCACTCATTCAAGTCGCAGCCCCTCCCCAAATCAGAGAAGGCAGGTCTCTCAGAAGGCCCTTTTCCTCTCAGCTCCTATATATCTAAGAAATCCCAAGAATCCAAACACTTCACTGCAGCCGGCTACATCAATACCTACAACCTGACTATTTACAGATGTATAGCTTTTTGAGATAGACTATCAGGTAAAGGCTGCAAAAGGCTGCCCTGCTTTTCTGGTGGAGTCCATCTGTCTAACCCTGAGCTCGCGATCTCTCCCAACCTGCACCAGGCGCCTGCAAACACCACAGACTACTGTCCCCTCCCTTCCGCGGCAGCAAGGGCAGGAGCTACAACGCTACATGTGATTCGAGCGCAGGTCACGGGAGTTTTGGTGGGCGATCACGCAGGACCTTGCTTGCTCTGCTCTGTAGCACCCAGCCAGGCGAATGGGTCACCCTCTGGTAACAGGGATGGGGAAAAGTGCAAGAGATTTTCCCGACTCTGCTCTAAGTAAAACTCCACTTCAAACTCCAAGGGAAACAGTCCCAGTTCCAAACTTGTGCCCTAACTTCATGGCCCGCTTGCCATGGCCTGAAAGTGGCCAGACGGGGCCAGCGGAGAAGGGCGAGGAGACCCAGCATTGAAGAAGGGAACCTCCCTGGAGGTATTTAAGTCTGCTCTTTCGTGCAAGTCACACAGTATCTCAGTGATTACTTACATCCCACTCCAAGCTTTCCAGGGGCCCAGGGCACAGGGAGGGTAACATATCACCCATTGGAAATATAGCAGATGCTGACCTCGGGTCACCTTCCAGTTCCACAGGCGGCGAGCGACAGGAAGCCTCTGAGGAGGTGTCGGGGAGGATTTAGCCGCCGCACGTAAGGGGCAGCCTCCCCTGCCCTCTCCAGCACCATCTTCCTAGCGCCTCCTATCGGCCTTGCACACAAACTGCGGCTCCGGGGCGGCAGCTTCCTGGGCCTGGGCCCCGGGCGCCCGGCTCGCGAGGCGCTGATTGGCCAGGGCAGCCGACACCTTCGGAAGCGGGGCCGCCCGGAGACACGTGGGCCGCCGCTCCGCTGAGCCGGGCTCAGGCTCTTCCCGGAAGCTTCGAGGTTTGGGATAGGAAGAGATCGGTGGGGCTTAAACTCTGGGGCGGTGCGCGGCACGGAGGGATCCGGTCCGGTCCGGCGCGGGGACGACGCACTCACCTGCCTGGTGAAGAGGATGGCGGTGTCCCAGTACTCGGGGTGCTTGTCGCTCACTTTGTTCAGCTTCTTCTGCCAAGCGCAGAAGTTGCGCAGCGTCAGAGCCGCGTTGCCGCTAACCTTGGGCCCGGGGTCGCGGTCCCCGAGCAGCAGCACCTTGACCACCACGATGTGGATGGGGTTGAGGATGCTGGGGTGGCGGTAGAGCCGCGCCGCGGTGGCCAGCAGCGTCAGCAGGTAATGCTCCAAGTCCGCTCCGTGGAACTTGACCATCGACTCGTCCGCCACCACCAGCGTCTCCACGTACCGCGGGATGGACACGAAGCGCTTGGCTCGCGCGGGGCCGCGGCGCCCGGGACGCTCCCGTGCGCCCGTCCGCCGTGGCCTGTAAGGGTCCAGCGCCCTCAGGATGGCGGGGTTCCAGCCCGAGGCCACCCCGCAGCGGGAGGCGGGGTCTCCGGAGGCCCCGCCACGGGCCGCCCGGCGCTGCAGGAGGTGCGCGCCCTGGCTGTTTCTCTGTGCTGCCGGCGCGCTGGCGTTGGGCAGCGGGCTGATGACATACTCCGCACCTCGGTACCCGAAGGCGCCGCGGAGACCCCCGCACAGGCTCAAGGCGGCGAACGAGTCCGGCTCGGCGTTCACGTCCCCCGAGTAGAAGCAGCGTCGCGGGTCTAACGCGCTGGCGGCGAGCTCCCGAAGGGGATCGCCCAGGAACTCAGTGGCGAAGGCGGGAGCCAGGAACTGGGCATCCGGCGTCAGGTGTAGGTAAAAGTCCTCCTGAAACGCAGCGATCTGAAAAATGAGTCCCTGGTCCCCGGGATCTTCTGGACCTCGCCGGTAGTAGTGGCGGCCGTTGATGTCCGGGTCCAGGCGGATGGGGACCACGACCTCCCGCTCCAGGTCCGAGCCACCCGCAGGGCGCCCGGCCAGAGCCAGAGTTAGGATGCCCAGGAGAAGCATGGCGCCGGGAAGCGCACGGCCGCACTGTGCCCGGGGGCTCGGCCTGGCGCCCGGCAGCGTGCACCGAGCTCCTTGCAGCCCGCGCAGTGGAACCACCAACGCTCCGGGGCAGCCGGCAGCTCACAGAAGATTAAGCCAGCCACTGCAGAGAGACACCTCCAAGAGCGGCGAGCGTGCACCCGCAGCCCGCGCCTCCTACCTGTGCCTTTCCAAGCCAAGCGCGCTCTGGGAGCTTAAGTGCAACCGCTGTCAAGTGCAAGGAGGAAAATTTGCAGCGGAAAGCAGGCAGGAGGTGCCGGACGGCTTTTCTTTGCCGCAGCCACTCGCCGCGCAGCAACCCAAGATCTGGGCGAGCCTATTAAAGGCCCCCTCCTCTTTGGACTGCCCAGTCAGCGCCCCTCCCTTCTCTCCCCTTCCAGCCTCCCAGAGCTCGCAGCCCCGAGCCTCCAGGGGCCACCGGAAAGCTCGGTCCCGCCTCCAGACCCGAGAGCCACTTGGCAGGGAGGGAGTGGCGTGGAGCAGAGGCTGGAGGCGTGGGCTGGCCAGAGAAACCGCCGCAGGAAAGCTTTCGGTGCGCGTTTGCCCTAGGTTACGCCCCAGTGCTGGTGCACGTTGGTTACTTCTGCCCTTGGTGTCACCTGACTTCTTCCTGAGTTTTAGCCTTCATCTGGAGGTAGTGAGTTAAGAATGAAAATACCTCCCGCTGACCCCTTCCCAGCCCACCTCGTCCCTCCTGTTGCTGTTTGTTCCTGTTGTTTCTGCATCACAGAGTCCCCTAAAAGACCCATACCAAACTCTCCCTCAACCCCCATAAATGCCCTATTGCCAGAAAGGCGACTTCCAGAAAACCTAGGAATCCCTTTTGGAATCCAGACCCACCCAAGTCAGCCCTGATCCTGGGCTGAGCGGTGTATTGGATGGGCTGATGCATGCCGTCAGCTTTTAAAGGTGTTTTTGCCAGCCGACGGTTTAACATAGCCTTTATTTTAAAAATTAAACTATATAAACTTTATTAATTTAAAGCATATTTTAAAACAACGTTGATATATACTCAAAACCCATCCCTTCTCAATTATTTGCCTATTGTCTGTGGCCTTGAGCCCTCAGAAGCATGGGCTTTCCCCCAGCAACTCAGAGCTCTTTTGGAGGTTGGAAAGATGACAGGGCCCCTACATGACCTTCTACACCACATTCTGGGGCAGCACCAGGGCTGCTTGCAGTAAGTACTTCTGTAGGAATGCTCCTCATTCTTAAAGCCCTACCTGTTAAAGACTGTTCACACTTACAACCCACATTTGGAGTTACAGTGAAAGGTGAGGGGTAGTACCTTAGGGTTCCTTCTGCAGTGCATGCAGTACCACGATTTTTGTGGCTCACACTGTACAGTAGTGTAGTTTTATGTTCTGTTACACTTTACAGTAGCGCACGTGAGCACTGTGCAAATAAAAGCAAAGTCACCAAGGTGGAGTTTCCTTTGACCATTTATTTGTTCCAAATGTTGTAATGTCGCAATGTACTCACTATGTACAATTCCTCACTTAGTGACCATTTCATGACCTAGTGGGGAGATCCACACTCAGTCCTTAAACACAGTGTTTATACAGCAAATGCTACCAGTCAGGGTTTGAGGACAGGCGGTAAGCCCCTGATAGACATTTACCAGTGTCCAACCCCTGGGGAGATGTAGATGGTGTGAAAGAGGTGGTCTTCTTGCAGAGGAGGGACAGGGTGCAGACAGTACATATCAGCCACTGTACCTTCTGAGGAGTCCCTCGTTTGATCTTTGACACTGGTGTAGGAGGCCAAGTATGAACAATCCCATCACAGTGTAAGTTCCATCTAGTTTGAGAAGAGCCCTGAGGGCCTTGCTTATTTATGGCTCTAGCCCCCAAGGTTCTCCTTGCCTCTCTGCAGGATACACTTCTTCCTTTTTTCTTTTTTTGAGACAAGGTCTTGCTCCATATCCCAGGCTGGCCTTGAACTCATGGCAATCCTCCTGCCTCAGTGTCCTGAGTGCTGGGATGACAGGCCTGTACCACAGCACCCGGCAGAATCCATTTCTTAACAAGGAGAAAAGGAGATGGCATGGGCCTTCCATATCTCCTGATACCTAGAAACCTTTTCCAGAACAAAAGAGCTCTGAATTGATTTACAAAAGGGGGAAAAGCAGAAGAGGGGAGTGTGTGGTGATTTTAACCTAATGGGGGCAGAGTAGAAGAATGGAGGGGGAGGGTTAGAGAAGTGGTGCTGGGAAGGGAAGAGAAGGCTGCAGCAGGCAGGGGGCCTTTTGCCGGAGCCACTCTCAGAGGAGCTTCAGAAAGGAAGACAGTGAGACGCCCACAACTCTCCTGAGGCCCCTCCTTCCCAGTGACACAAGGAGCTGAGGCTCATTACCTGGATGAGTGAGAGATGGGTGTTTGTACTCTGTAAATGAAGGGGACAGTACGCACATGAAGGATCTCTCAGAGCATTTGTTCTGGTTCTCAAAAGCCCTGTGTCTTTGTTCGAAGAGGGCCTATAATTAAAGAGCAACTCATACAACCAAGAACCACTGTAAGTCACTTATTTGGGGCAAGCAGTTGTTTTTCTGCACCCTTAGTTTCCAATGATGAGTTGCAAGGTTTCCAACCTTATTTTACTTGTGCTGCAATGGATGGGTTTGGGCAAGGCCTGCAGCAGGTTGTTCAAAGTGGCAAACCCAGGGGGAAGCCTTCCCCCTCCCCCCAGTTACAGCCTGGCTTATTTCATCCCTGAACTTGAAGACTGGCCAAGTGGTCTTGCTCAAAACCACAAGCGTGTACTGTATACTTTACGTTAAGCACTGTACCAAGAGTTGTATGTGCTTATTTTATTGAATGCTTGTTTCTCTCCTCTTGGTAGCTGGAGTTCCATTCCATCACTCTTTCCAGGGTCTCCTAATCAAGAATTGAGGGTTGAAGGATGTGTTGATGTACAGTACAGAGGCTGCTGGATTAGAAGTTGGGAAAACTCAGTATTCACACTCCAGTCCTCTCATTCTGGTTCTCAGACTCTGAATTTCCTCATCTAGCAGAAGAGAAAAGATTCTCCTGGGACAAATGACTGTGTCAGAAATCTCTGGTCCCAGTAACATCCAAGGCTACTTCCAGATCAAAGATTATATGACTGGAGAAAGCCTGCGGAAGGTAACATAGCCAAAGGGCTCAGAGCACCTTCCACTAGGCTTAGTTGTACAGTCTTGGCTAAGTTGTCATTCCTTCCTAAGACTCAGTTTCTCCTCTGTTAAGGGGAATATTCCCACTTCCTATAGTTATTATGAGGATCAATTGACTTAATGCTCCCAAAGAGCTCAGCAGTGTTTGGAGCATAAAAAAAAAGTTTATTAAGTGATGTCTAACAGTACCATTAATATTCTTATTAGCTGCTATTATTCTATTATTTCACCTGTCAAGCATTACTAGGGCATCCATGACAGATGTCATGGATGTTTTCTGACTTCTGTAGTATTCCAAAGAGGGGAGGAAGGAAAGCTAATGGGAACGTCCTCTTCTGGGGGACAGCCCTGGGGCTTCAGCACCCCTGCTTCCGTACCACCTTCTCACTTCCTCTAAGATTTAAGATCCTTGAGAAACTAGAGGTGTTTCATCCCCCAGAGAGAGACCAGGGCCCCAGATCATCTCAGCCTTGCCTGTTACCCCTGCAGGCTCAGCCTAAGTGAGCTCTTCAGAGACTGAGTCCCAAATCATGAGCCAGACGACATCCTTTATTTAGTCCCTAGAACTTATCTCTGTGTGAAACCGTTTTTTTTCCTTGAATCTTCACATTTGTATTGACCAACTCCCTCCATCCTCGCTAGAATAAGAAGGAAACCTACCTCGTTTACTGTTCTATCCTACAGGTCAGAGCACACGGAAACTCCCATGCATCCTGAATGAATGGACCAACCAAATTCTGTTCTCAGCTTGGATGCTCACAGTCTGTAAAGCTTTGGACCAGATAGTCCATCTTCAAAAGGAATGTAAGGCGACCTCATGGAGGGGAGTGCCTAATGCAATCTTCACGTGGCTATTTATTTCCTACGTCTCTGACAGAGACCTTAGCCCAGCAACCTCATGGCTGTGTCTAAGGCAACCCAGCCAGCTGCTTTGCTCATCTCATGAACTCACTTCCCTTTATCTCCACCTGAGGACCTGACTGGCTAAATCGGTTCAGCTGCAAACGAGCTCCCTGCAAGCCATCCCTCTTGCCCTCTCTACCTCCTCCATTCCATGCCTGTCTGCAGTGGACAGAAGCCATTTGAATGAACGCACACAATTCCGGTTGTGCCTTCTCTCTTAGTCCCTTTCAGCATTTATATATTCCATCTCTAGCATCAGTATATTCAGTCTGAGCTCGCCCTTTGCTAATTAAGTGTAGAGCCCTTTTCTCCAGTCTGGCCCACAGCAACACTGAGCAGGGAGCTCGTTCGAGGCAGGACTCCCCTTCCCTTCCTGTCAGTCTCCATGGCCGTCCCCAGCACAAGCACTGACTGCTTGGCTGAACCAAGTAAATTCAGGAGATTCCAAGTTGATCGACCCGAAAACGTGACACCCAAGACCAGAAAGACACAGCCACAGGCACGGCACTGAGATTTCAAAGATGACTTCAGCCCCCCTGTAACACGAGGCCATCCTAGAGGATCTCCCCAAGATGAAAGAAAGAAGAAGGCATTAGGGAAGCAAGTGCTACTGTCCAGGCGTGATTTTAATGGGTAGGAAAGTAAAAGAAGTCTGGAGAGATTATCGATCATCCACTTACCATGCTGGGATTTAAAATCAAGTTTCATGCAGCAACGTGAAAACAGATTTATGAATTCATGTCTTTATCACTCTTTTTTAGATAGCCTCAGCCCCAGATGCACCTCACCTGTTCTTAATGGAACCTGTGTCACCGCATTGGGCAAAGCTGCCAGCACCCAGACAGGCGTAGTCTTTGGGGAGCCCTCCGGAGACCCAGGGAATGTTGTCCTAGAGATTCTCCTTCATCCACTGGCTTTCACAAGTGCTGGAATCCTTGGCCAATCTTCTTCCAGATGTGGAGTCAGTTGAAGCAGCTGGAGCATCATCTAAGGCCCCGTGAATTATAGTTCTGGGCCTGGGTCCATTCTTCACTGCTCAGAGGAAATATTTAACTCTGCTTTTCCCTCTCAGCCACCCACTCTGATTTTTACCCTGGGGCTGAGTATTTCAGTATAAGGGCCCTCTGGTCCTTAACTCTTCTCTGTCTCTCTTGAGCACTAGGAGGTCAGAATAAAGGGTCCTGATTTGGCTTGAGAAACTCAACAAATAATTCCAGGCTATGTCCCTCTTCCTCCCTGAGTCCCCTTTATACAGTCTTACACACAGCCACCACCCTAGTATCTCCGACTCCCCAACACAGCACTTAGTTTATAGCTTTACTCATGTACACACCCCAGTGTCATTTACTTAGGAACTCTTGGCTGCACCTTTGGCCTTCAGGCTGGCTTAGGGACACCTACAATGGGACCGGAAATGAATGCTCAATCCTTGGCTCCTATCCCGAGATTCAGAAAACAATTAACTTATTCTGCAAATAACCTTCTGTCACCTCTGCTTATCCCATCTGTCCCTTCCCCCAAATTATCAGAACTCACAAAAGCAGCTTCGAGACTGGGTTTGCCCTTGAGGCTGAGCACCACCCTGGTCTGTGATGAAGGACCCCCAAATTCTTTCTTTGCATTAGATAAGGCTGGAAGGTACAACCTGTCTCTCCCCCCAAGCACTGTGTTTTCTCCCATCAGCTCATTCTGCTTCCTAATGAAGACACCCCACAGTACAGAACATCATAATTCATAAGTGAATTTGGTGCCCTAGATATAATCCAGACTCTTTTGTGTACAACAAGGAAAGAATTGTAGGTGCATACCCAGTAGGAAATAGCAAGCAGCTGTATTTACTGAAGATCCCTGGATGCTGTGCTCAGGGCAAGTCCCTGCCACCATAAGACAAGGCACAGGCAGAAGGCGTTGGGATGACAGAAAAGCTCTCCACGTGGTCAGTGCTCACTAAAGTGCCCACATCAATA